ACCAAAGAAAGAGTGGAAAAGAAAGTAACTTAATATATTTACAGTTAAAACTTTAATATTTAATACTTATAACACTGTATGTAACTATAAAATCTATTTATTATAAATATAGCATGCAAACAGAAAATAAAGATAAAGAAAATTATAAGTTGTTATTACCATGACCATAAACTGTTATAACATAAACACGTGAAAGTATATGCTCGCAAATACAATGTCACAATCAGTCATACACTTAAGAAATATAAATTGGTAATGGTGTATAAAAATAAAACTGTCTATATATATATATATATGTGTGTGTGTGTGTGTGAAATAAAGAAAGCAATATATATTATATATGAAAGAAAAGATTTATAAATGTAAAATATTCAAAAGTTTTCTGTTTCTTTTACGAATACGTTTACATGCCTTATTATGTTGTTTTAAAGTATAATAAATGCGCATACGGAAAAATAATTTTATTAAATAAATTGTTGGAAAATGTGGACACGGCGCTTCAAAAGTTACATTCTGTGCAAGTTGAAATAAATAGATACCAATGTTTTTTTTAAAGCAATTACTTTCAAACGTTTTCACAAATATTTCTTCTAATTGATGGATATAAGCACAAAAATTATTACTTGGTAAATTTAATTTTCCAAAAGGATTTTCCTCTGTATTGTAAGCTCGGAAAGAACAATACAAAGCAGTATCATCTAAGACAGTCATATTTTCATTTACATAATCTGTACACGCTTCACACGTATGCATTTCTGTACATTTTTTTATTAAATATCCGCAAACATATTTAAAGGCATTTACTTCTGGTAGTTCCATGTTATGATAATCGTGATTAGGAATATCTAAAATTACACGTGCCGTAGATGGAATAAATTCTGAGGAAGTAGACGGATTCGAACCTGACATACCAACTAAACTTAACATGCGATCATTATCCGCAGCACAATTTTGCGTATCTGAATGTTGTAACATCTTCATACTAAATAATTTTTTAAAGGCACGACTAAATTGTATCGGTGTCGGATTTACACAATTACCGCCTTGTTGTCTAACACAGCCAAAGAAATTTTCTAAACAATCTTGATTGATTCTTCGTGTCCGAATATGTGGAAAATTATGACATTTTAATTTTTCCCAAAGTTGTATCATGCTGTTGATAGTTATTTGCCAACATTCGAAGCATTGAACTTTTACACGAGATCCTTTGTCATTAATTACCTTAATAGTTTTTAAAAAACATAACATTTCTTCTAAAAATTCAATTTGTTTTTCGCTTCCTGTAAATACTTGCGCATATTCCTTTGGACTATTTAAAGTGGAAGAATTTAAAATATCGAATAATTTATCAAAATGGTCGATAAAATCTATTGTTCCAACTGCTGCGCTTGGAAGAAGGCCCAAGGACAAGTAAGTGCACATACCTGCACACATACGATTACTGAGAACTTGAACAGCGTATGGTACTCTCATTTTATCAAAATTACTTGGATCGATATGCTTTTGAGTTAACTTTGGGGCCAATTTTATCCACTGTTTACTGTCTCTGTTATAAAATTCAATAATATCATCCCATGAAGCAACTTTGTTATTTCCAAATTGTATATTATGTTTCAACAAATTATCACGAGTTCTTTTCATTAAATGCGGAGTATCGAATATATATAGTACCTCATGTCCGTCAACTAAAAAGATTGAATTTTGTACAGAAATACCTAATTCTCGGGATAGTTGTGTAAAGTTAGATCCCATGTCCGAAATTAAAGCATGCACAGTCGCACCGCAATGTTGTAATTTACGTATAACATCAAATAGAATAAGTTTCAATACATTAAATTTACATGCATTCTCGACAAAACAAAAGCAAAGAGGAAGTTTCCAATTACCTTCAATGCTACGTGCCATAATAACTAAAACACTTTTTGCAGGTAACGGTTCTTTCTGATCATTACCGGTATCTTGAAAACCAATTATTTCATCTTGTGAAACATTGTAAAATAAATGAGCTTGTAGACTCATTTTATCTATGCACAAAATGCAATGACGTTCTAATAGTGGCAATGAATTTAACTTTACAGCTAACACATTAAAAATTTTATCATTTATACCGGGTTTAATTTGCCACGTTTGTGTAAACTTATGTAGACTGCGTATGGCAGGTAATGCTAATTCTTTTTGAAGTTCTTTATAACATCGCGGACTTAGAAAGTATATACCTAAAGCAAATTGTTTAAATTCGGAACTATACCGTCTTCCACGTTTGCTTTTAATTTGCGCATCAATTTGGGCAGATAACAATCGTGCGAAAGTCGGAGAAAAAAACTTACAGCCTAATTGACGTAGAATCTCGTGGTCCTTAAGCTTCTCTCTTTCTGCTTTCTTCTTCCTTACAATTAAAATCTTCACTTTCTTCTGAAGCCGTCTGTTTCTTTCGTCCAGTGTTTTTACTCTCCCTTGTAATCGTACAATGCGTTGTTGCAATTTTTTCTTCCGCGGACTTTCTTCTCTTCTTATTGTGCTGCTGGACGTGCTCCTATACATAACATATACATATATTATAGCAAAAAACAGATAGTAAACCTCTAGAAAGAAAATTGAAGTATTAATTACAATTTTAGAAATGTCAATAACAAAGAAATATAAAAATAAAATAAACCAAATATTTATTATAAACTCTTAAAAAACTTATATTTGAATATTAAAATTAAATAGATATGGTATTGATAACCTTATTTATTTAAAATTATTTTATATATGCATGTGTTCTTTATGTATATGCAGACATGTTAAAATAAGACAAATGTTTTTATAAATACAATTACTCTCACGTAATATTATTTATGTCTTGTTATATTAAATGCAGAATGCAATTTTTAAAAGAAAAGAAACATAAAATAGACTGTAATAAGTTGTAAGTTTAAATCAAAATCTACAGACTGATTATAAAAAACTGTATAAAAGAAATAATATATTATAAAAACACATATGTATGTATATAATGTAAATACAAATACGTACGGCTTAGCAATAATATGGACATCTTTATCACATTTTGGCATCTGCTCTGTTATAGGCGGGAATGATTTCGACTGTAAGTCACTGAAACATACCATTTTAGTGTAATATTACTTTTTATTGCTAAATAAAAAATGTCTAAAACAAGTTAATTATAAGAACAAAATACTATCTATAATAGAAAGATAAATACATTTTCAGATATTTAAGTACCTATTTGTTTCCTCTTGTTGTAAAATATAAAGATTTTCTTCTTCAGGTAGCTCTTCATCCATCTTTTCAATTGCTGATGTTGTAATACATGCATTGCTATAAATAATATCATTAATTATAATGTGTATTATATTATCAAAAATATTGTTTGATATTGTTTAATATACAATATACTATTGAATATAAAAAACCACATTATTTAAAATAGAAAAGATTATACATTATAAGATGTGTATGGGCTTACTTTCTTCCAAAAAATATTGTTGGTACAGCATCTGGTTGAAGATGAGCTCTACTCTTACTTATCTTGTACCACTTTTCTTCAAAATGTAAGTGGCACAATCGATAATTGCGATGGCCATATTCTGCACCCATTGCTTCCAAATCTAATCGTTCACAAGCACGTATCCATTGCAACCATCTGTAAATATTATTCAAATTTGTAATTGTAAAGAAATATTGTAATAATATATACATATGCATGCACATAATAATATACATACGTTTAGAATAAATATCAAAATAGTATTTTATAATATGTAAATTTATACTTGTTTTAAAAAATAATAATTAATAAATGAAATAAAATCATTATACCTTTCATGTTCCTTTGGAAACCGAAAAAAATGTCGTTTTTCCACAATATTTTTGTTGCATTCCCGAACAACACACCACGTGCTTGATTGATGGGCCATTTTTTTCTTCCAGATTTTCCCTCAAGATTTCTTCACAAATACCTGCAACAAAGCTAAGACCAAAGTGCTTTTCCTTTATAAGAGAATCGAGAATCTGTACAATTTTTGTACAGATTAACTATTCTCCGTAAGGAAAATAATTTGTTCTCGGTTTTCTTGCACCGTTTACTAAACACCTGTACACTATTCACTGAGGACTTATCACTTCACCACTTTATCACCACTTATCACTTTATTATTTCTCGCATCAGATCACATCAGATGTCCGTTGCCGCCACTTTCTACTGAACGGCCATTTAAAGGTCCTGCCCTGCATGGAGCATCTCAACGATGCTGACAGAGAGCGAAAATACAGAGAGGAAGTGAGCAGAAGTGAGACAGAATATCAGTGCTCTGATTGGTTACATACCTCGCACGCGCATGTGCAGTTCATTTTCATCCACGCTGAAATCGGGAGAGTTGCGCTACTGTATATACTGTGCTAAAGTTTCGCAGTGACACATTATCGGAGCAGACGGACAGTCTATACAAGGTGGCAGCAAAGTTTAAAATGCCAGTTAAAGTATGCACGTGTATTTGACGTAAGGAACAAAGCCCGTCATAAAGAGGAAAAAGGAGAAGAGAATATGAGCAGAGAATGGTAAGTAAAATGACCAGTGACCAATATTAAAAAAGAAATGTAAGATATCCCTGTTTAAAATAATAGATATAAT